TAGAAGGTTCAAGAAACACAGACCATAAGAACTGTGAGCTAAGCAATAGCCTATGTGGCTGTGTACTCTCTAGAACATACCGAGAGAGTAAGAGTATTGCAAGAATTATGTGCCTATCAGATGCTGTGGCCTTATGATTCAGAATATTATACCTTGAAATTGCCCTAGATATGAAAAACCGAAACACAGCCAACAAAAATTCGCTGATTAGCCAAGCTACTTGAACATTATGTTATACCAGCTAGACTGTGACCAATTTTCAAGATTACAAATCCTGCTGTGGTAACGACTAACAAGTTGCACTAGCGATTGCGATCGAATTCGTTTTCTTGGAACGGCCGACCGTGCTGTTCAGGCATGATTGTGAACACATTTTGACCCGGTGGCAATTTGAGCTCCACCAAGAATTGATTTTTGGATTAATGTAAACGATAGCTCAATAGCTTTGGTCTAGTTTGTGCCATCCTGGCTAAAAACTGGATAAGTTAGGGGACAAGGTGGTTACTTAATACACAGTATTTCTTGGGCATTAGTATATGTACAAGCAGAAGTTGTTGGTACTTAACCTGTGATAAGTTTCTCTCTGCCAGTTGGTTCAAAAGATAAGTTTCTCTCTGGGAGGATCGAAACAGATATGGCAGGGATCATCACTGGCAACTTGCTGGGTTCTAAATTGCTGTTGCTTACTCTCTCTTCTGACTAAATACATATTCCAAGCCTGATTGGTTAAGATAACAAGCAGTGGGTTCTTTTATTGACCACTGAAGCGTGCAGCGTTATAGTTTTATGTATCTATTGATATCATGCATGACAGGTTTATTTGCAACTTGCAGTGAGACATTTGGTAGTCAAGAAGACATCTGGCTTGCACAACTCCATGAGTCACTTTCATAAATATCTTCGAGCTTCATTGACGTGGATTTTTGGCCTTCTCTGATCCAATCAAAATGGATTAGCGAAAACATATTCTCGGAGACAGTTTTTATTTGGTTCGATTGAATCAGGAAGATTAGTGCAGTACATAGGGCGAGCACATTTTTGATAAAGTATTAATTCTTTAGAAAGAAACGAATCTAGAAGTATTTTCTTAAAAGAAGTGCATCAGCATTTCTGGTCACAACTAATAGAAATACGCCCCCGTTTTTATGAGTCGTGTTACTATTTGTGATGGAAGCAGTATGCTCTCAGAATTTTTTTTTGATGGTCTGCTTTCAGAATATTGAGTCGTCTATATAACTTCTCCGGTCAATATAGTATGCAAACACAATTGCTCCCTGATTTCATTTTCATGCGCTATTCGTTGGATGCAGGTGGATCAATTTATCCATGTTTTAAAGGAACCTTAAGGTGAGATAAGGCAGGGTCATCTTCCAGGCCTACATGAATGGAGCAGCCTAATTCTGATGTTTGCATACCAGGTCATGCAAATATGTAAACCCTGAAAGATCTTGCTACATATTCACCGTGATGAAACATATACGATGGAGCTCCTGTCAGTGAGAAAATTTGAACGTTCAGGTACCAACCGTTACCGTCCTAGTGACAAAAATACTCAACAGTGGTAACATTAGCCATTTTCTATTTTACCCACCTTTCATTCATGCTTTCGGCTATAGTATGTTCATATTGAATAATTTTCTCCCTCAAAATTACTCTCTTTAATAGTTAGCCTGAAATGGTTAGCTTTATCTTCCTAATCCTTGATAAGGTTACATGTGCTTCATGGTTCATTTGTGCATAATAAATAGTTAGCTGCCCAAACTGCAACATGACTTAATCATCTATCTACCAAACCAAACACTTTGTTGGTAATACAAGAATGTAATAATTGTTTATGTGACAGCAACTCTTTATACTACATAACACTGAACTGAATCTCTCTTTTTGTTAATTATTTGCTGAAAGCTGCAAAAGGGTTATCACAAAAGACATAAGGGAGTATCTTGCAGTCCTGGGTACAATTTAATTCAGAAACTGACATAAGCATAAAACAGTTGCAGCAAGGAAGGCTTAATAGATTGGGCTATCTCTTTTCTCTAAAAAAAATGGGATGAGCTTTCGCCGAAATATATATAAGGGTATTAACGAGGAATCGCCGTACCTATGGGGATCATTATGGCCACTAATGACTTAGCTTTTTATGTATTAATTTACAAAGTTAGTTATATAATCCTGCGTGATCATTGTATAGCTTTTAGCTGCTAAGCTGCATGTCAAGAATACTCTCCCTTTTCCCACCTGCGATTGCACTTTTTTCTGTTTCATACAATGATTGCCGGCTGAACGACATCCAATAGGACTAATGAAACAGATCGACAAGAAGGGCCAAATGAGGATAGCTCAGGATCAGAGGGACGATGTATCGTGTCTGAACTGTAGCTGCTCATTGTTCTGATGGAAACTCAACCACCACCTTTCAATTTGTATATTTGCGTATTTCTCTGGATTGACGCGTCATTATGCCAATTATTGTTGTAAAATCCAAATCGAAGAACATCTATGTTTGCAAGATTTAGATGATGAGGAAGTTTAAGGGTGGAAGGTATATTCCCTATTCAGACTACTACTGGGGAATGAGCCATGAGTTAGTTATGCAAGGAATACATTTTGATCCACATGAAGGTTCCATACAATCATTTGAGAGGTTATTTTAATCTTTCTCAGTCCGGCCCTTCTCTATATGATTGTCATTTTCTACGAAATACTTTGTCTACTTTAATTTTGCTTTCTTTGTTCATAAATGTGACAGGAACATGCTAATGGAAGCAATCGAATTTAAAAGGATGGATGATTTTTGAACAACAGGGACAGGTAATTCTATAATGAGCCACAGTTCTATACTGTTTTTTCTTGGTGCTTTGTGTTTATCGTTTGAAGAAGCATATGGATTTGTGACTTAAGCCACAATAGTAATAAGTTCAAACTAGAAAATATTAACCTTGAAAGTGTAGTGTAGGTGCACAAAGGAACATTAATGCAATAGCTTCGGCCAAAACAGCATAAACAATATAGTGGAGGACAAATGGACAAGAACGTAATCAGATTCGATAGACGACAATTAAGCTGTGCAATGAGTATTATCGAATTGACGGACGAATTATGAAAGGTAGAACAACGCTACAAAAAGGTCTTGTTAGTTAGCATAATCCATTAGGCTTTTTGGCAGCTTGCAAACATAATCCTGCGGGAGTTAGCTGGAAGGCAACATCAAACAGTATCTCAGAATCATATCTAATAAATTGATTTCATGTAAACCATGTTCATTGAATCTGCAATGTATCCTATCTGCAAATACATTTTATTTTGACTTGCGAAACTAGTTCAGCATCTAGTGGGAATCATATATATATCCTAATTTTAACCCGTAACTTAAGTGTACTGTATCTGAAGCTAAGTGTCAAGTGTGCATAATAAGTAAACAAAAAAACCTTTTGTATGTTAAAATTGCGTATATAGCTAGACTTAGGTCGCGCAATTGATAAAAAAAATATCAACATTGCCAAGATAAATTTGAACGTTACAAATTATAAGAAAAACACATACAAAAAAAATGGGGAGATTGGCCGACGAGTGTCTGACGATGCATGATGTGATATATATATTCTCTAATCTAATAAAATGGAAGATATGGCACCAGACACAAGTTGATCAAGTTGAAGCTGAGCGGCCTGCAGACCTCAACCTCCCTATCCTGAGTCTATGTATACTAGGCTCCAATACTTAAACCACGTGCAAGAAAAATAGTAATATGTTTCTAAGAAATATAAAGTACAATAATACAGCTAGTTGATGAGCATACAAAAGCTACAAATTTTTGCAGGCATCCATCCACTCAAGACACAATATAAATTCGCCTGATCTAGCTACTCCCTGGATTATGATTTTTTTTCAGAATAGAATAGGAGCATTCACATTTGAGAGTTGAGACCACTTTTTCATGGAACTTAAGAAGAAGAAAATGTTAGCCCACAGGATCACCGGCTCAGGTGAGTTGACCACTCACCAGTCTTGCCGAGCACCTGCTAGTGTTGCCGAGCACCCACTAGCTAAGCCGACCACGACAAGCGTTGTCCGACCACACACACTATGGCTAGAGGTTGAAGAAGAGGGAGAACAGAGCATACACACAGTATAAGCACCAATGTTGGCCGGAGTCCTGTATAGGAGATGGTAAATCTGAACTCTCTTTGCTGAGTTGCAGAGACAGTCTATTTATACAACTCTATCCATCTAGTCCTAGTACAGCTACTATGCGGCTACAGTGACTAGATAACACAGCAAGCAGTAGATTATATGTAGATGTACCAGTACATTACCACTTGTGAATTGTGATTTCAGGAGCTGACTTTGAGTGCACCTGTTGCCGACCAGCTGCTAGTAGTATAGCCAGCCCTGAGAAGAGGCAAAGATTCCCATTCCAAGAACCCCTCTCTATCATGGGTCGTGGAGCCAGACATGTCACCCCCATCAGTAATCCCACACTTTTGACCGCCTACAGCGTTCAAAAGTCGACGTCGCCCCCTTTTCCTCCACTGTCACTGCCATCGATCCATCCTCCCTACCTTTGCCCCCTCGCCAGTCGCCACAAGGACAGGCACCATGCAGCGCACGCGCTGGACCGGCGGCGTCCACCCGTAGTCACCAACCAGGCAACCAGCGGCTAGCTAGCCGTGACCTGTGCATGAACATGGGCAGGCGCTCGCGAGGGGATGCGAGCTGCTCCATAGATTTTTGTCTCCGCGCGCCTTGTCAGTAGCCCCGCGGCGCCTATTTAAGCCGCCGTTCCCTTCCCCGTCTAACCTTTCCGTCCCCTCGGCCTCACTTTTCCACCGCTCGCTAGCGCGCGCGCGCCTTCGTTCTCCTCCCCTCACCAGTCAGCAGCTCTCTGGAATCGTCGTCACATCACCGGATCACCCTAGCTTAGCTAGACGACCTCGAGGGCCTACGAGGCTACGACTCCATCCTGCTGGTGCTGCTAGCTCATCATCATCATCATCATCATGCTAGAGAACCAAAAGCAAGCGGAGGTAGGCCAGCCCGAACGCACGCACGCAAGCGCACTCATCACGCTCTGTTGTCGTCTTGTTTCTCTCCGATGTCCGATTCCACTACTCTCCCATCTTTCGAGCTAGCTCCAGCTCCAGCTCCAGCTCCAGCTCCGACCGGCCTATGACATGGTTGTTACTGACGCTGTCTGTGTGCGCACATGCATGGCTAGGTTCTCTGGCCGCGGCTGGTGGCCAACAAGCTCTTCCGGAAGACCTCGGGCAGCCACGCCTTCGTCGCCGACTTCCCCGCCGCCGATGACGACGACGACGACGTCGTCTTTGGGACGGAGTTCGACGACGGCGGGTGCAGCCCCGACGTGGACGCCAGCCGCTGCGTGAAGCGGGCGCGGCCGCAGGAGCGCAACAACAAGACCCTCAAGTACAAGTATGTAGTCATCCTAGTCCATATATATTCCTCGCGTCGCGTCGCCTAACTATAGCTATAGCTTTGTATGAGCCATTGAGCCGTGCGTCACTGGCTGGCGTCGTTATTGTTTGGTGGCACTGGCATGGCAGGCTGTTCGCGAGCACGTGGAACGTCGGCGGCGTGGCGCCACCGGACGATCTGGACCTGTCGGACTGGCTGGACGGTGGCGACGACGGGCCCTACGACATGTACGTGCTCGGGTTCCAGGAGGTGGTGCCGCTGCGCGCGCGCAACGTGCTGGGCGCCGACAAGAAGCGCGTCGGGATGCGGTGGATCGAACTCATCCGCGCCGCGCTCAACCGGTCGCACTCGCGGCAGAGGGAGGAGCAGCAGCGGATCAGGCGACGGCGGCGGCAAGCAGCAGCAGAAGGTGTACCCGGTGCGGGACGGCGGCCGCGGCGAGCTGGCCAGGGACTACCGGTGCGTGGTGAGCAAGCAGATGGTGGGCATCCTGCTCACGGTGTGGGTGCGCTCCGACCTCCGCCGCTTCGTCCGCCGCCCCAGCGTCTCCTGCGTCGGATGCGGCGTCATGGGCTGCCTCGGCAACAAGGTGAGTACACTATAGTACTGGTGCTCGTACGTTCATTCCACGACCTAGCTAGCTAATCCTAGTCCGATCGAAATGGTGTCCGGCCGGCTGGCATCTAACCAAGCAAGCAAACGAACCGATGGAATGGCTGCAGGGTGCCGTGTCCGTCCGGTTCTGGCTGCACGACACGAGCTTCTGCTTCGTGTGCTGCCACCTCGCGTCGGGCGGCCGCGAGGGCGACGAGGCGCACCGCAACGCCGACGCCACGGAGATCCTCTCCCGGACGACCTTCCCGCGGGGGCACGCGCTCAACTTGCCGCTGCCGCACAAGATTCTAGACCACGAGTAAGCCACTCATTGCTCCCTCCATCAATCTATCCACTGCCACTTATATGCGGTCACGCCATGCCAGCCAGGAAACAGATACCACCGGTAATTCAAGTCGTTTTTGATAGTGACACGGTCTTCAAAGCATAATTTTGATTTTTTATTTTTATACAAATATTTATTAGAAAGTGATATATGTATATTTTTATGAAAATACATTTCTAAACTCAACAACTTAAAGGATATTCATAATTTATATTCTCACCCAAGCCTCGTTAAAACGACTTAATTAACAGAATGGAACGAGTACAGGTCGGCCGAATGGTCGCCCAGTTCCAAGAGACCTGTGTGCTGCAATAGTACGTGGCGTGCAGTAGATTAGTAGCCTAGTAGGGATGGTGGAAAAAGAAAAAGAAAGAGAGATGCTGACGCTGACACGCACCGGCCGCATATCATACGTATGTACATGCACAAACGTTACAAGTACAACGCCCGCTCATTTTTTACTCCGTCGACGAATCGTATATTCTATATTTAATCCGGTAGCTCAACCGTCCACGGTGCCGGTAAATATTAAATCAAGGGCAGGTGTAGACGATATTTTGCCGTATCTGGGATTTGGGTACAAGATAAACATACTACCACTAGCTACTTACTTTCACCACAAAACAGAAAAATACTACCTCTACCAGTGAACGTATCATTTGATCGTGTCATATGTTGATTCGGTACGGCATACGTATATATCCAGCAATTGAAACGCATGTTGACTTAGTGGTAGTTTACCGCAGCTAGAGACGAAGGTTAATTCGAAAGTATTTAAGCGATCGTGGCAGGTCTGATCGACCGCCTAGCTCCCCTGTTTTATATACCGACGCTGGTGCTGTACATATACATACAAATACAAAGTATATAAAATACTTGCATACATCAGCTTAATTGCTACTGTAATAATGCTAGATCGGTTGCATGCACGTAGTCAAAGACAATAGACAAAGACAGCTAATACAACGAGCGAAGATGAACGAACCGATGATGAGGCAAAGGCAAGGCTTTGGCTTTGACCAATAGATAGATAATCTGATGACGTGCATGCTCCGGGCTTGCTTTTCTGTTGTGCAGCCGGGTGATCCTGCTCGGGGACCTCAACTACAGGATCTCCCTGCCGGAGGCCAAGACGAGGCTGCTGGTGGAGCGCCAGGACTGGAAGACGCTGCTGGAGAACGACCAGCTGCGCGCCGAGGTGTGCCGCGGCGCAGGCGCGTTCCAGGGCTGGAGCGAGGGCGCCATCACCTTCTCCCCGACCTACAAGTACTACCCCAACTCCGACGCCTACTACGGCTGCGCCACCGCCACCCACGGCGGCGGCGGCGGCGGCCACAGGAACAACAAGCGGCGCGCGCCGGCGTGGTGCGACCGCATCCTGTGGCGCGGCGCGGGGCTCAGGCAGACCCGCTACGGCCGCTGCGAGTCCCGGCTGTCGGACCACCGCCCCGTCCGCGCCGTCTTCACGGTGGAGGTGGACGCGCCCAGGAACCTCAACTCGCTCAGGAGCTTCTTCGTGTCCGAGAGGTTCGACAGGGCTGGCAGCAGGAGCCCCGCCGCCGACCAGCTGCTCCGCAAGGACGACGTCGTCAACAGCGCAAGATTCGGCGACACTCTTTGAGACGCGCATGCATGAGAGGGCGGAATTGTCAGTCCACTTCTCCGATTGCGATTGTACACAGGCAAAAGCTAAGACAGATGCAGAGTATATATATGATTGTTTTTCATTTCTGTGTCAGTGTTCGTAAGATCGTATCTACTACAGGTAGCTAGGATACAGAGTTTTTGTTTTGTTTTTTTCTTCTTTGGTTTCCACCCTGTTCCCTACGTTCTGTATGTAACTGCATTTGTACGCTTCTTGATCCAATGAGTATGATTTGTTCTCAAGTTTGTTGCCAAGCATGATAATAGACTTTGAACAGTAATTTTCGAACGGGCTTTGATGTTCCCTGATATAATGGGTAGCTTAAGCAAAAGAGTGGTTGGCAACTGATGTTCTTCTTTCTTAACTGACGCGCGTTCAGACTTCAGAACCATATATAGATCGAGGAGATCTCGGATGATTTGTGAAACTTAACCTGTTTTTGCGTACGTCAACAGTGACCCATTCACAGAGAAAACTATTGTGGGAACTCTTAAGTGTTATCCAAAAAATTGAAAAAAAAAACAATTGTGGCGTCGTCATGGGCCATAGCAAATTAGCAATTGGGCAATACTCAGACTACTGGTGGTTTCAAGCTATCAATCCATCCCCTAAATTCAAGGGCTCTGTGCGTTAAGATTGTCCCCCCCTTCCCCTCTCTACCCTCTTGTTTCCTGCTGATTGTTCCTTCTATTTGTCAGGATTCTGCAGAAACAAATGGCTTGCTCCAAGACAAGGCTGCTGTCTTGCATTGCATTGCACTGCATGTGATGCGAGACAGGCGTTTTGTCTCTAGTCTCTCTGCTTATCATTTAAGCATGCTATTGATGTAATTGTAGATGTATACGTATGGCTGGTTCAAATAATCCCGGCAAATATGGTACCAGTTCAGTTAACTCACCTTACCTTTTAACAGAGCTGAAAATCATCATGGTTCTATTCAGAAGAAGATCATTATGCACGTTAATCATGTGAATCCTGAATCTAGACTAGGAGGGGCACATACATTGTGTGAACCCTGTACCATACCAGGAGTCCCGTTTCAGATGTTTCACAGTTTGATTAATATATGAAGCTGGTCCTAAAACAATGGTTTGGTTTGGCAGTAATTGACACAGTCGGATCAAACGGATCTTTGCTCAGTTATTGGCGTAGGTGCCGCGCTACGATTGACAAAGGCCAGATTGACAAAGGCCAGAGAAAAATGTTTGATGGTGTCATAATCTATTTCTAGTGGACCATATGGACAGAAGGGAATAGAAGAACTTTTCAGAACAAGAGTCTGCAACCAAGGGAAGTGGCCCTCTTATGCAAAGAGAAGTGGTGCAATACCAGTCGACGACAAGATCCTATGTGCAAACCAATCAGTCACAGCAATAGTAGACCTCGTCTCTTTTCTTCTGATTTACGAAGTATTGTCTTCTGTTCCCTTCTCATTCAGGTTTTTTTTCTTTCCACTTCGGGTGGTGTACATAGTAGGGTGGCTGGCCTGCGGGTCAAAGTGGTGGCGAGCATAGGCTCGTCCTTGTAGTTCTGTACTAATATTTTTTTCTCTTTTCCCTGTCTAATAAAAATCCGGCAAAAACCTTTGCCGCCTTTCGAAGGAAAAAATGAAGCTGGTCCTAAACAAGTGATCCTTGAAGATTCTCTCCAGTACTTATGTAAAAGTGAACTGCGATGCAGCCTTTGATACGGAGACATGGAATGGTGGATGGGGCTGTGTTCTTCGTGACTCTGATGGAGATGTTGTCGAGGCCCGCCGAGGAAGAATAGAAGCGTTACTCAACCCGTTGCAAGGTGAGATGATTGCCTGCATTCACGGCGTCTAAGCGGCAATCGATGCGGGAGTGGGGCATGTGGTCATTGAATCGGATGCGGTTGCCGTTGTCCAAGCAGTCTACTCGAGCACCTATGACTTATAAGTGCTGTCACTCACCTCGCCGAGGAGCTTCGCAGTTTGCTTCCTCTGAATTTTATTTCCTGGGTTGTCCAACAGAGACCTCGGTCTTGTAATAGAGTTGCTCATGAGTTAGCGTCTCTAGGGAGTTCATGCGATCCGGCTGAGGAACCAGTTTTGGATTCCATCCCGGCACATATCTTGTATTTAATTGCTGATGATTCAGCGTCTTTTCAGTAATGGAAATGCTTTCCCCTCAAAAAAAAGAGTAATTATACGCCAAGATATTTATTTAAGGAAACAGCTAACTCAATTGTGTTGGTCTATTACGGCGTTTCCACTTGATGACTCCACGAAGGTCTTAGCGAGCTGCGAGCGGCAAAAACAAATGACCAAATAATATTACATCATGGATCACCTAACACCTGCTGAATCATATTCATATGGGTCCAGTCGTCATACTCGAGAGAAACAGCGAAATCATTGGATCGTTAAGAACAGTGCGCCGATCGATGGCATACATAAGAACAAGATAAGGTTTCCAAATTACGTTCAATAATTGTTAAAGTTCATTCAGTGCAAAAAGACTTTCTCACTGATGAAAATTGTGTCTCTAACCCCTCTAACAATGACATCAGCGCACCAGCTCACAGAAAGCACCTAATGAACAAGTTGCCTCCTTTTTTATCCTTCTGAAAGCTCCATTAATCCATGTTTTAGCTCCTATCGCGTTGTAGAGCTAGCGTTGCAGAAGACAAATACCGTCATTCATCCACCATGACATAAGGCGAAGTCAGTCGGCGCATAATTTTGCAGGAGACGACGATAACACTTCTATCAGATGAGTGATGCAAGTTGCTTATTGGTGTCAAGAATGGCAAGTTGTTGGTAGGCCCTGCCTATCTTCAAATGGGTGTGTTAGGTCAGGTCAATCCCTCCACAACCACTTACCCTGCTGAGGTAGCAAGGGGGAAGAACACTTCTGGTGAGACAGGAATTGGTCTAGAGTGATCTGTGTTCTTCCTTGCCTGCTTCCTGGAGAAATATCTTTATCGCAGCCATACATACAACTGGTCCACGGTCGCAAGATCCGAACACAAGCTACAAAACACACACGCCAAGTGGCAAACTTTCCGAATTCGGGTTCAAATCTTTGGTCGCCGCAGCTTGGTAGGGCAACTTTGGTGGACTTTGCATTGGCCTGATTGAGAGACATGCAACTGTGGACATCACCACAAATGGTATGCACATGTGGCGGCTACAGGTCGTTTCCTTAGTGGCATCAACATGTCATGGTCCTACTCCAGCAATCATGCACTGACGCACTGTGTAGCAGTGTACGCTAGGTTCACTTTGGCTGGCCTGGGCATCACACTGCTGCAGAGCTTTTTCTCTATGACATCGAAGCTGCAAGTTCTGGTAGCCGGTAGATGGATCTTCAAGCCTTGAACCATTGAACCCCCCACTAATATATGCGTCGTCGTTCTTGGTCAGTAATATCTTGCAGTCGGATGAGTTCCAGAATGTGCCGATCAGGACACTTGGAACAGGGCTGCAACTACAGTAACCTATCTGTCAACTTCTTCTGAAAAAACAGGGGTAACCTTTCAGCAAATCAGTAGGGCCTACTTTGGCAGCCCGCTTTCCCGGAGGGATCCCACCGTTTTCCCCGTGCCATTCTCCCCCGGGCCAATTTTTGCGTACTTTGGCAGCCCACCCACCCGAGGATCTCAGCCAGATTCCCTTCCTTTTCCCCGCGGTAGGAATCCACGACTCGTGAGGCCGGGAGGGTTTCCCCGACTCGCTCGCGACTCGCGATGCCGCCCAATCGCGAGGCCACCGCCACCACAGCATCCGGCCGCCGTCGCCCCGGTATCCCGTCCCCCGCCGCCTCCACCTTCTCATCGCTTCAACTTTCGCTTAACGGTGAGCCCGCCTCCGCCGCGATTTCCTGGTCGATCCACCACCATCCACATCTCCTTCCCCACAGAAGCTTCTCGATCTTCTAAGGTTTCATCCACATCTCTTTCTGGTTGATCTTGGAGTTACCGGTCCGCGAGCTCGGACGCCTCTACCGCTAGCCATTGTGCCGTTCGTGAGCAACACCGACGTCGCCAGCAACATGACACAACCTCTGCCTCTACAGGTTAGTCTTCTGTCCGCATCTCACACCCCTTCTTGTAGATCTGGGCAAAACAGCTACTAGGAAGATCCACCGTGATGTACCAAGGTTGTTTCAGATCCAATTGCTTCATGTAGCTTAAAGAACTCAACTGTTGAACTACTTTACTATTCATTAGCAGAGTGATTCTATGGTTTCTTGTTTGTGATGTGAAAATAGATGTCATGAATTATGATTCTTCAATAATCGGTAGAGATTGTAATGTTCATTGGTGAGCTGGTTTCTGTGTTCAGAACACCATTGCAATAGAATAGGATGGCATCTTGTGATGGATTTTTTCTAGCATTGCACAACAACTATAGCCCTGGCACCATCCGGTCTAAAAAATATGATGATAGTATTATCTCAAGCAGTTAAATCTCTGTATGAATGCATGATAGGTCTCACCTACTCGCACGAGATCTTAAGCAGAGTGTGCCTTTTTAATTTGATGGCGTGGGATCTTAAGCGAGTTTTTTAATTCCAGTGACGTCCATACTCGTCAATTACTCAATCTAATAATCTGCGTGTGAAAGGTCCTTGTTGGTTTTGGTAATTGAGTGACAACCTAGGTGGACTAATTGTGTTTATGTGAGATACACAGGTGATTAGTCCACAGGTACATGTGTATGAGCAACATATGCCATAGAGGTGAAAATGGCTTGGAGATGTTGCAAAGCTCACACATGTGATGATGAAGGAGCTTATTGCACATGAGACATGACATTGAGTCATGTGATCAAGGTGGAGAAGATCAAGACAAGACTTGGCTTGATGGACCGGTTGCAAGCGTGAAGGGCAAGTCGAAGGCTTTGGAGTGATGGACCGCGTGGCGGTGAAGCTTGAGCAAGACTTGGCGCCGATGGACGATGGCAACGGTGAAGAGCAAGTGAAGTCAAGATCGATGAACCAATATGATCA